GTAAGGTTGGTCTGGTTTTTACAAATTCCTCTAATTTAAGTTTGCCTGAAAATGTCTTGATTTTGCCATCATATTTGAGGAAAAATTTTGCTGTATATATAATTCTTGGTTATCACTGGCCAAGTCTTTGTAAAGTGGATGCACCCTTCCTCCTTCCAAATCTGTCTTAGTCTGGAAGCTCTGCTGAAATTTGTCTACCATGGGTAACCATGTTGACATTTGAAATACTGGTGGTATAGCCCAAAGCCTCATAGCAACATGCAAGCCACCACAGTATGACATACTGACAAATGAGTTGTGGTGGCACTTACTTGTCTATGCCAAGAAATTTGGAAGACAGCTACGTGGCCATGTGACTATAAGGGATTCATATTTGTACCCTTTCCAAAGAAAGATAATAACAACAGAATGTGAAAATTATCAAACAATATCATTAATATCCCACACAAATAAAATCTTGCTGAAGATAATTCAAAAATGGTTGCAGCAGTATATTGACAGGGAGCTTCCAAAAATGCAAGCTGTATTCAGAAGAGGATGTGGAACAAGGAATATCATTGCTGTTGTCAGATAGTCCTTGGCTGAAAATGGAGAATACCAGAAAGATGTGTACTTGTGTTTTATTGACTGTGCAAATGCATTTGACTCTGTGGATCATGACAAATTATAGATAACATTGGAAGAATGTGAATTCCAGAATATTTAATTATTCTCATGAGGAACCTGTACATAGACAAGAAGATGTCATTTGAACAGAACAAGGAGGTACTGCATGATTTAAAATTAGGAATGGAGTGCATCAGGGTTGTATCCTTTGACCATATTTATTCAATCTGTACACTGAGAAAATAACCCGAGAAGATAGACTATACGGAGAAGAATGAGGCATCAGGATTGGAGGAAGATTCATTAACAGCTTGTGATATGCAGATGACACAACCTTGCTTGATGAAAATGAAGATGACTTGAAGCACTAACTGATGAAGATCAAAGAATACAGTCTGCAGGAGGGATCACACCTCAACATAAAGAAAACAAAAATTCTCACAACTGGAACACCAAGTAGCATTATGATAAATGGAGAAAAGTTTGAAGTTGTCAAAGATTTCATTTTACTTGGTTCCACAATCGACACCAACGGAAGTAGTAGTCAAGAAATCAGATGCTGTATTACACTGTGCTGAAGAGCAAAGATATTTCTTTGAAGATTACCCAACCCGTGGTAATTTTGGTCACCTCATATGCATGGATAAGGAAGACAATGAAAAAGTAAGACCAAAGAGTTGATGCTTTTGTGTTGTGGTGTTGGCAAAGAATACTGAAAGTATCATGGACTGCCAGAAAAACTAACAAATTTGGAAGAAGTGCAGCTAGAATGCTCCTTTGAAGTGAGAATGTCCAGACTTCATCTCACTTTCTTTGGTTATGTTATCAGAAGGGACCATTCCCTGGAGAAGAATATCATGCTTGATAAAGTAGAGGGTTAACAAAAAAGGGAGAGACTCTCAACAAGATAGATTGACACAGTGGCTGCAATGATGGACTTAAGTATAGCAAAGATTGAGAGGCTGATGCAGGACTGGGCAGTGTTTCATTTTGTTATACATGGGTTCAGTGTGAGTCAGAG